GCCACTGGGCCCTCTGACCACCATCAGTAGGCAAGGTGGGTGAAGTGTCTTGCCCAAGGACACAACGACTGAGACGGCTGGACAGGGGATCGAACCAGCGACCTTCTGGTTCCAGGACGACTCACCTAACCACTCCACCACAGCCTCCCCCAAAAATAAAAGTTCAACTCCTCAAACAGTAACTCGTACAAATTAAACAATTTCATATTTCTTTAACAATTTTGCTTTGATCATTTTTTTAAAAGGAATTCACTGACCCAATGCTTTTATAATCATTTTCCAGATTATTCCATAATCTTATACCTTTTACTGAAGTGCATCTATCCTTCAAATTTTTTCGGATTTTTGGTTTAATAAACATTTTGTAGTCCCTTCAAATTATAACAGCTTTCCCTTTTAACAAAATTTGATTGGATGTTTGGAGGTAACACATTTTTATGAGCTTTATACGTAGCTTGCAGAATATGATATTCAACCAACTCCTAAAATTTTAATAATTTTAACTGATGAAACAATATATTAGATGGGTGATAGTAAAGCTTTCTTGTAATAATTCTTATTGATCTTTTTTGTAAAATAAAAATAGGATTAGTAATTGTCTTACATGCATTTCCCCAGACTATCTCTGTGTGAAGCTGAGTTATTGTATCTCTTAGAAGTTGCAGTCATCTTGAATGTGGTTGTAGATGTGCCTCCAGCTGAGACATAGAAAGTAATATAGGCAGAGGCAAAATCCATTAAAATTAGCTATGGAGTGATCTCTTTCATTAAAATTAATAAACATGACCTTAAGCTTGTTGGAGCGAGCACTTTCTCCTTGATAGTTGCATTATTAATAGCCAGGTAATGCAGGGAAAGAGCAGAAGGCTTAACAGTCAGCAAAGGTGAAGCTGAAAATCAAAGCAGGCATTTTTTTAAAGATATTTCCCAATTTTTTCCCTCTGATCTGCAGCTCCATGCCCTCTCTGCGGGGCTGAAGGCTTTCACCACGTGGGAGACCAGCTCCGGCATCGAAGTGTGCCGCATGTCGTGCGGCGGCCAYGGTTACTCCCGAAGCAGCGCCTTGCCGGACATTTACGTGGAGTTCACCCCGACCTGCACGTACGAGGGCGAGAACACGGTCATGATGCTGCAGACTGCCAGGTGACTCCTCACTGAGAAATGCTTCCAGCCTGTCGGGTGACACTTTAAAGAGTGCAACAGATATACYCACAGAAATACTTAGAAATGATTTGTGTTGTGGCATTTAACAACAACAAAAAAAGGTCTGGAAGTATTCAGGCATAAACAGAACACCCACAAAGCAGGGTCACAGAGATTGTGCCACAAACGCTGCGGCACACTCCGACTCCGCCCACAGTAAAAACAAACAGAACACACATCCACAAAGCCGCTCGTGTTTTGCGTTGTCAACACCGTAAAGGTTGTGTTGTTTTTTGAAACGAGTCGTGTGGTGTTTTTATCACCTGAAGGGTTTCAGAAACTTGCCCTTTTTTTGTATCTGAATTAAGTTCCTGCAGAAACAWTAAAGGTCCTGTGAGTCAGAATGAAATAAAACACACAGAACCTGAAACACATTTAGATGGCTTGTGGTTTCATAAAAAATATTCACATCCTTGGTGTTTTTCTGTTTTGTTGCCTTCTAACCTAGATTTTTATTGAATTTTAAAATCTAATTAAAAGTAATAAATAAACACAAGATACATAAAATGATTAAGTTATGTAAGTCAGGGGCAAGCTTGTTTCGTAAAATTTAAAGAAATATAAAACTAAACAGCCTTGTGACAGCCCCCAGAAAGCTGCTCTCGTTCACATATTTTTGTTTTTCTTCTCACAAAGCACAATAAGTGAAATGGTGACAAAAAGTGATCCAATGGCTGTATTTTAACTCAGGGGCTGCAGCCCACGTAGCGTGCGTTTTTCATCCGATTCTGTCACTGCACCGCGCCGTAGGCTGTCACAATTCACAAGCATCTTCTAGTTCATCCCACAAACCCTATCCTTCGTGATTAACGATATCCCAGAATTCRTTGCACTGTTGTCAATTTTTACAGGAAAAAAAGTCAAGGTGGAGTTTGGAAATTCATCACAGAACAGAAGAATGTGTTTAAATATATGTTTAGGAACTTGGCTGACGAAATTTTTGCTGCAATTAGTTGTTAAATAAAATGTTAAATGACACCGGAGCTAAACCCAAATTATTTTTTATAATACATTGAATATCATGAAGTTACACCTCATGTGAAAAGACGTGTGAATACACGTCTCATTAGTTGCAGCCTACACAGACTGCGAAGGGTGTGGCCTCCATGGGCCGCAGTCTACGTGGTCTGGATTCAGCCAGTCACTACATTTTTATCATGCACTGCAAAGTTGATGCTCTGCTGAAGTAAAATCCAGATTTTATTAAGCACAACGTTGACGCCACTCCTGAAGACATTTGAGCACCAGCCTGATTTCATACAATCATGATAGTATGATTTGATTTTCTCTGAAGTAAAGCTCTACAAAATGCAAACCGCTTCACCTCCAAAAACTTGTGTGCAGTTTTCCGTGGACACAAATTCAAATATTTCACTAACTTCTTCATTATTTTTTATTTTTAATTTTTTTGTTTTTCTTGTGCAGATATTTGGTGAAGAGCTACCGGCAGGCTAAAGCAGGCCAGAAACTCRGTGGCATTGTGTCGTACCTGAATGAGTCTCAGGATTGGAGGCTGCAGCCGCAGACCGTCGCTGCCAGACCACCGGTGGTCGACACCAACGACCTGAGCAGCCTGGTGGAAGTTTACAAACAGCGAGCTGCCCAGTAAGAGCAAAATAACCGTATGCAAAAAAAAAAAACAAAAAAAAAACATGTCATAATGTCAACATCAGTCGCTGCTGGTCTTATGGGTTTTGCAGGAATGTCTGTTGCTCCCAGCTGTCACCTAAAACTTATTTCTTTATTATCCTTTCTGAGTAACACGATATCCTCCGCTGATTACATCACCGTGTGCTCTCCGCTTTAGTCACATCTAAATCCATTTGCCAGAGAGTGTCAGCTGTGGTGAGCACAAAGAGTCTCAGACAAAATGTGGCTCGCTAGTTTCAGACATCAGAACAATAAAAGGCGAAGGATGAGTGGGTGATGCTGACCCTTTCTTCACTTTCCTTCTTTAAAATCATTTTATAGCAGCTGAGTAAAAATAAACTCTATAAGATTTAGTGATAACGTGGCAGCTCTGTGAGGGCTCTTGGGTGTGAAATGTGTTTTTTTGTTTGTTTGTTTGCACGGCACATTTTATGGCACGTTGTGTGTGTTTACAGTCTGGTAGAGATGGCAGCAAAGAGCATCCAGCAGGAGCTACAGAACAGGAAGAGTCAGGAAGACGCCTGGAATAACAGCTCAATTGATCTGGTCAGAGCCTCTGATGTAAGTTCACTGCTGAGTCTGTGTGTGTTCGGGTTAAAACATGACTTTACTTTAACCTGCAGAGGCACTTGCACAACAAAATTTAATATATAAAGTAGTTTATTTAGGCCTGTCACAATAACAAATTCTACTGGATGATAAATTGTCTCAGAAATTATTGCGATAAATGATAATTTGTAAACTTGTAAATTATGTTTTGTTTGAATATATTCTGGGGATAAAAGGGGCAGACATGATTTCTACTTCTGCTACCTTTCATTTTATTTAGATTTTAATGTGTATATTTTCTTTGTTTTTTATTGTATATAGTTATTTTTTCATGAAATGAATAATTTTTTTGAATTGAATTGAATAAAATTGTTGGAGACCAGTTCAAACTAATATAATGATAGGACAACCTGTTTACGGAGGTTTACATTAAAATTTATGTAGTGTAAAAAGAAAAAAAACAACTGTCAGCAATCCCAAGGCGTCACCAGCTGCGTGAAGGTGTCAGAAAGCTGAAGACGCTCCTGCCTGTTCATGGGCTTTCATGCTTCAGAGTTTAGGAGGCCATGCACCTGGCAAATACCTGACGCCAGTGTTCACTCCTCTCTATGCTAAGAAGTAAAAAAAGGGGGAGAGACAAAGAAAACAAAAAAGTAGGCAAATGAAAATTATTGTTTTAATTTTAATTTTTCTTCCTCGGTTTAATTTATCAAATGATTAATTGATTTATTGTTTGTTGTGACAGGCCTACGTTTATTATTAAGTTCCTTAGTGTGCCTGTTATTATTCCTTATGTTGTATTTCTGTCTTTTTTAAACAACATTCATTGGTCATTCATTTACCTTCTTTTTTTTTTAGGCCCACTGTCATTACGTTGTACTGAAGGTCTTCACTGACAAGCTGGGAGAGGTTGGTGACACAGCAATGCACTCAGTGCTGTCAACTCTAGCTCTTCTCTACGCCACGTATGGAATCACAAAGAAYTCTGGAGACTTCCTGCAGGTAAAATAAGGAACCTTCAATAGAATAACTGCACAGTTCTTAATAAACTCTCAAAGCTCCCACAAAGGGAGATGTGTGCCTTAAACCAAGTTGTAGTTGAAGACGTTTGTCTGTTTTTAGGCTGGACTGCTGAGCGTCCCTCAGGTTCTGCAGATTTCCCTTCAGATCAAAGAGCTTCTGGCTCAGCTGAGGCCCAACGCCGTGGCGCTGGTGGACGCCTTTGATTTCCACGACAAGAAGCTGAACTCTGTTCTGGGACGATACGATGGCAACGTTTATGAGCAAATGTTTGAGTGGGCTCGTCGTTCGCCTCTCAATGCCACCGAGGTAAACATCAAACTTAGTTTATGAGTGTTATAACTCTACACTGTGCTAGTTCAGGTTCAATACATTGACGTTTTTTTTTTGTGGGACTGCAGACGGTTGAAATAGTAACAAATAGACGTATCCATTACAACACAGACTGAGCCACAGCTGGATTTAAAGTCTTAAAAACAACAATCTGGAGCCATAACTTCACCTATTAGAGCCAGACAGAGCTGCTGCAGCCGGATAATGTTGCAAATATGCATCACAGAATCCAAAGTGTGTTATCGTCTCTCCTTTCTGTGGTATCTGCAAATTGTTTTCATTAACTGGCAGTGTATGGCAGTCGAGCTGTGCAGAGATTAGAGGAAACTCAAATTTCATCAAGATAATGCAAAAGCAATTCACAAAAAAAAAAAAAAAATCCCCCAAAGGGTTACAGAAGAAACACTGATACATTTGACAATATTTGTTTTTCATCATATCAAGATGAAAAAAAAAACAGTCATGCTGTCTTTGATGCACAGGTTTCARGAACTGAATATAAATATGACAGGAAACCTGCAACAGACCTGCTTTGTTCAACTGAAAWGTATGCATTATCTCGCTCTAAACCCATTTTATTTTTCAGGTGCATGAATCCTTCCACAAGTACCTGAAGCCTCTGCGGTCGAAACTGTGAGCTCATCGATGGACTACAGCTGGTGACCTTGATTTGAGCTGGTGGCAGTGATGGATTTTACTTTGTGTCCATGAGAAATTTAGCCCCTCTTCTTCATCTGTTTATTCTCTGAGCAGGAAAGTTAAACACATTCAGGCTTTTGAAAGTTTTGGTAGAACAAACACTAACCCTGATAGAGGAGTGGGCTTCTGTTTGATTAAAAAAATTAAACTCACAAAATAGCTTTAAGAATCCTAAAAATAATAAGAATTTTGCACAATTTTTGTTCCCCAAATGCTTTCTTTATGTCTCAAATTTCTTCGTTTCTTCAGTGCCTGAAAATAAGAAAACTAATTAGTCCAACACGCTTTCAGACATTGAAAATGATTAAACAGACATAATGATTTATTATCCAGTCAGGTTAGAAATTAAGAGTGAACTGATCCCGTTGATGCTTTTTGTCGCTTCAGGTTTCAGACATATCTTTGTACTTTGAATTTTATTGATTTAAAGCAAACCTGAACTGTAGTTAAACCCAAACAGTTTTTATGATCATATGATTCTTTTAGGATCAAATACTGAAAACTGTTTCCTGCAGGGTGTCCCTTGGTTTGCACAAGGTCAGCTGTAACGGTCTCCAACAACACTTCATTCCAGTTAATAAAAGTTGAGATCTAATGGGACCTTCAGCAGACAAAGTTTGAAGCTGGGGATGAAATTCTGCACTTTTTACTGTAATTATCTCCGATTCGGAGAGGACTGACACTTTAGATTTCCCTAATGATGCTGAATGATGAATTGTTGCATCAGTTTGTGTGACTGCATGTTCTGAAGGTGTTTGAAAGGAACCAAGTGTTCTGTAAGGATAAACTGTAAGAGGAAACGTCACGTTTCAGAGGTCCAACCCCACTTTACCTTTTTTTTTTATTCTTATTTTGGATCAACCCTGTTTACGAATACCAATTTTAAATAAAGTGCCGTCTTGACAATGTTAAATCAAATCTGCCTGCACTATTTTTATTTTATGGAAACAACTATGTTTTTAAATTAGTCTGTATGATAGTTTGCCACTAAAGTCATAGAAAATGGTTTGAAAACATCTTTTTTAAAAACTGATGTGGACAGCAGAAACATTTTTTATTCTGTCTGGAAGCATGCATAAATGTTGGTACTGAATAAAAGTAGAAATAAAACTACCCCATGCATATTTTTGTAGCTTTTTGATATACTGCACTGGATAGTGGGAGTTTTATTCTGAAGCCTTGCTGTATAATTCAACTTGATTTCTAAAGAAAAGATGTGCCTGAAGATGTTTTGTCTCTTCATAATTTAATTGAGATTTTTCATTTCTGTATTTACTCAAGCTGTTTAACATCTGATCTAACTGGGAAAGGTACAGTTATTGTTACTATAGAATGACTGATTTTAACCTGATTTTTATTGTCTGATAGAAAATTAATCCGATAAATATAAATAAAACAATAGAAGAAAAATATGTGGTGTTTTTCCTGATCCTTTACAGACATGAAGATGATCTTAGAAGCGTAGTTTGCATATACCTGCTTGATTTTTTTCCCATTTATATTTTTACCATAATTTTATGTGATGGACCAACAGAAAGTGCACGTAATTGTGAAGTGAAAAGGAAATAGACAAGATAAGATAAGACAAAACTTTATTGATCCCACAGTAGGGAAATTTGCAAATCATTGCAGCTCAATACAGGAGAGGGTGAAAAGAATAAAGATAAAAGGAAAAAAAAACACTATACATGTCATATATAAAAATGTGCATATACCAATGCACATATGCACCATTTCATACTTAGAAATTAGGCACAATTGAAATGAATTAAGCACATGAGGTCGACCCGCTTTGTACGTGTGCATTTGTGATAATTTCTAACTACGAAATTGTTTATTATGCAAGTCTGAACAGTGATGTGTATTTTTATTTAGCACACTTTAAGTCATTTTTTAGTACAACTGCGTTTTGATAGAATTTAAGTTGAAAGTTTTGGGATCTGTCCCTCTCAAACGTCAGAGGGAACGTCAGCCAATCAAGGCAGATGACTTCGTACCCTGAGCTTGGTTCTGATGGAGGTTTCTTCATGTTAAAGGGGAGTTGTTTCTTTCCACTGGCACCACTGCTCCGTGGGAGAGCAAGGAAGTGATGTAACCTGCTTCATTAGATAGATTACCTGCTTTTTTTGCATTAGCATTGCTATAATTTAGTTAGCGGTTTGGTTTGTTGTATAAGATTGAATTAACCGGGTCTGAACAGGAATTATTAGTTTTGAAATACCTGGAACCTCCCAGTGCGGCTCCTTGTGAGATAAGGAGACTCCGCCCCTCGAGAAGAWAAGAGGAGACCCCGCCCCTCAGCCCTTTTGAAGGGAGCGTAGACTCCGCCCCCCGGTTTCTCTAAGGGAGAAGATAAGAGGAGACCCCGCCCCTCAGCCCTTTTGAAGGGAGCGTAGACTCCGCCCCCCGGTTTCTCTAAGGGAGAAGATAAGAGGAGACCCCGCCCCTCAGCCCTTTTGAAGGGAGCGTAGACTCCGCCCCCCCGGCWGTCTTGAAGGAAGCTTAGACTCCGCCCCTCGGCTCTTCCGTGGAGCTACATTCAGGATGATGGAAGACAGAAAGAGGGAAGTACTGTGATACACGCAGCTGGGACCAGCAGTATGACAGTTTTCCGGACATATACCCTCTGCTAATGAATAAAGGAACAGCTACTTCGTCGTGGAGGTTAGTAAAACCAGTCTAGTTTGTTTGTTTTGAAGCAATTAACTCCGACAAACCGATATCTCTCACCGTGTTCTGGGTCTGCGCTTATTTTAAAGTTTTTTTTTTTATGACAGTAGGTGTAGCTAATCACCATACGCAGGTTAGTTTAGTGAAATAAAAGTGCAAACACACAGCATAGTTCGTATAGTTTCCAGCACTAAAACTACGAGTCGACGGCGTGCCGGGACAAGCCCTTTGTGCCTCCACCCGCCCGGACAGATATTACATGTACAATAAGTTATTCTCAAGTTCCCCCTCTCTGTTATTCATCAGAAGTTATTTTCAGACGCCAGGTGTGGTCACGTGGGCCTGTTGCTGAAGTTCCACCTCACCTTCAGGTGGTGTTTACAGTCAGTCAGGAGGAAATGACAGGACAGTTTCAGCTGACACTTGACAACATGTATGTGGTGGGGGTTCAAAGTGAGTCAAATAACTGTGAGAATRATATTATGAGAAGTGAAACAGAAACACCTTCTCTGTGTCACCTGTTCATAAGTTCCCCTTCCTTGTGAAATTACATGACATAACATTTTTCACATTTTGTCTTTTAAGGGTAACACCTCAGMTCTTTGAAGGAAACCTTTTAGATGAAAACTGAGTGAAATACAGTATTTCTCATCAGGTTTCCAAAGTATGGAATTTAATTTTAGTGWCTTGATAAATATGGACAAGCTGAGCCTCTACTAAAACTGATCACCAGCTCACATGAAGAATAGCAAAAAAAACCATAAATAAATAAACAATAAAAAATCCTCTGTACAAAACAGTTTCCTTCTAGTAGCCTCCACAACTCGTGTTTTTCCTCTGATGTTATTCGTAAACACTCTACAGGTCCTTGAGAGCTGCTATCCTGCATGTTTTACTCTGCTCCAACACACCTGATCCAGTGTTTGAATCACCTCTTCAGGTTCTGCATTTAAATTGGTTGTTTTGGAGCAAATAAACATTTAAAACATGCAGGATAGTGGCTTTCAAGGACGAGGAGACAGTCCATAAAGCTAACTTCATGTTTTCTCCATGCAGTCAATGTTTCCTATCAAGCCAAGGCAGCTGATAGAATGTGAATGACCAGAAATCACAGATCATGGCTGGTCAGGCTGAATATCTGAGCTGGTGTAGTACGAAACTTCAACTCTGGACAGCACTCATAAACCACATAAACAAAATATTTGTTCACGTTGCAAATGGTATTTTGAAATTATGACACATGTTAGCTGATTAATCAAGATCTCAAAAAATGAGCGCTAATTTGCTGGGCAAATTAAAAAAAAAAATAGCCTGCGCTATAAGTTGCGTGGCATGCGATTTACTAAAATGATAACAGGTGCAAAGGTTGTGCGGACTGCCCATTGAAACAAGGATTTTGTGTGTGTCGCTGCTGGTCGCCATGGAGGAAAACGATAGAGATGCAAGAAAATGCAGAGTTGCAAGAAGAGGGTTCGGTGCAGGCGAGCGCAGAGATGACCGTTTGACTGAGAGGTGCAGGAAGTTATTCTCTCTCTTTTTCTATTTCTAAAAGAGTTCAAAGAAAACGTTACATTAATCGTGAATTTTGTCAGCGTGCAATTTTTGTAATGCGGGTTATATTTGTGAAAAACCCCCACAAAGACTGCAAATTGAAATGAAGCTGCAGTTATGTTTTCTTTACATTAAAGTGAGATAGTTCTTAATTTTATTACTGTCACACACTGGCAGAGCAGAGCGGAGCTAGTTTTCACCTGCCTTTCAAACGTGCTAAATTTAGACACAAGCAGCAACTGCAACCAGTTTCAGATTTGGTAGATCACATTGTGGGTAAAAATAAATAAATAAATAAATAGAAATTATATCTACATATCCTCCACCCAGTGTTTTGTGTATTGCATAATCATATATTCATGAAGGCAAACACACTAAATGGACTGTGTCTGCTGTTATGCTCATTAGACCGACACAATCCTCGCTGCATTGTTAATAAATCAGCTTTGTGAGCGATAAATCAAGTTTGTGCRTCTTTTTACAGGCAAAAAAGGGTTTGATAAAGCAGAAAACTTGAGCTGACTTGATTTAACTCCTGTTGATTAGAAACAATGCATTTGCTGAACCTGACACACTTATTTGCATGCAGAACAGCAAGGTGAGAAGCGGTAACTTGACATGCGAGACTGGCAAATGTAAACAAAATTCATTTAAAGCTGTCCACGTGTCACAGGAACGCCCAGACAAACTTTTGATCTGTTGAGTAGAAGGTTAAATAAAAAAGCTTTTACTCTGTAAACACTACAGTTCATTTAGGACAGGAAATAACATTGCATTTTGTAAAAATGTTTATCAGTGCTTTTAGATTAAATGTTTGGAAACTCCTAAAGTGGTCCAAATGCATTGTGGGAATTCCGTTACTGTCACACCACTTCCCGCCATCGGCTTATCTGTTAGATGCCATAAACACTGCAAGAGGAAGTGTGTGTAATGCCTTTTTTTAATAATAGAACGGTTGTAGTCTAGTGTTTTTACATTCCAGGACAAATAATCTCAAAATATCAGAAAACCCTGGAAAGTTTTTAATATTTCGATGTTTGTGGACTTTTCTGTGAAACTTCCATATAGACGGCTGTGTGTTTTGTTGAGGCTCGGAGATCAAAAAGGAAAAAAAAAATCCCTGCACTTTTCTTGCCAGTTAGTTGAGAACAGAACGTCTTTACTCCAGTTCRGTCTGGCGCTTCTGTTATTTCAGAGTGTGAGTGAGAGAATACAATGGTCCGGTTTGAAAATGCAAGCTGGAGTCCTTAACACAAACGTCTCCGATGAACTCCTTTGCAGTTTAAGGGAACACGTTGCGACAAACATGGATAATGTGTGTGTCTGTTTTACAGTGAACACACACTTACAGTTATGTAGGTCAGATCTGACAGATTGCGAGGAACACCTGTACTGCCAACAAGGCTGTTAACGCTGCGCTGCAGGTTTGGACATGCTCCTTCTTGGGAAAAAAGGCACAGTGTTATTCTGTGTTATTTACATTATGCTCAGGGTGATGCCTTTTTAAAAACCGTCTTGTGATTGGTTTGGAATAGAATGATTGATTTTGTTCTGTGAGTCATATTAAGTGTTAAATTATCTTGTGATTTAAGCTCCAAGTTGTAAAACAGGGATGGGCAACTTAAACGATGGAAGAGGCCACAGTTTTTTGTCTACACCAGTGTTTCCCAAAGTTGGGGTCGGGATCCAAAGTGGGGTCCCAAAACTTTTAAGGTGGGGTCCTGAAAATATTTTCTGAATTAATTACATTTTGCTTTAGTTGTTACAAAGGAGTGAGGTTTGAAATGGATAAATGTAGTATAATAAATATTGTTACTATGCCCGTGTTTTGTTGACCTGATAAAAATGTTTATCATCCAAAAATAGTTGGGGGCACAGGTCTCTGCTGCTGTTATTTTGTGGGTCAAAAGCTGAAAAGTTTGGGAACCACTGGTCTACACTACCAGAGAACCACACATTTACCCATATATATATATA